GCTCCTTTACAAAAGAGAAGTATGTCTCCTAAAATAAGAACCAAGATATTCACCTTAGAATTTTGAGACTGGTATTGGGATTTTAATAACAGATAACTATTAAAGTGGTCTCTCTCATCCAGCTGGGCCTGCCTTGCAATGCTCACCCAAATGGAAAGAGACATCTTGACCTTCATGTCTGTCAGGGGAATGAACACTCACTACCTCTTAAGTCTAATAGATTAATAACCCAGAGTTTATGACATGTACCGTTTTGAAAGCTACTTCCTCTCGGTGAATCATGAAGGTCTGTACTTGTATCAAGGACTACATCTACATTCTCTACAAAATCAAGGAAATGAATGTCATTGAACTGGACATGTAAAAATTGTCAAGTGGCTATGTATTCTGCTGTGTATATTTTCAAAAAGAAAGAAAGAATTTTTTTTTCAATTGAGGCAGCATTGGTCTTGAGTGCACATATGGCATCTACACACTTCAAGGACCAAGCTCAAGTTGCAATTAATTTTCAATAAACTATACAAGTTAGCTTTGAAAATAGTACATGGACTGTTTTCACTGGAAACTTGACAGTGGCTTTGTAGACACTGATGTGAGTGCAGTTTCAGATCAGACCATGCATCCAGGGAAGTTTTCAGAGCTGAACATTACCAAAGCCACTGTTCTGATCCGATAAAGAGCTGAGCTCAACAATTTTTAACAAGTGTGGCTCTAAGGCTGGAGCCTCTAGCAGACCACTTTCCCCAGATGTCTGGTCACTTGCAGGAGGGCGCATATGTGCATGTGCACACTTAAGAAGAATGGCTACTTCAAATGTTGTTTCCCCTCTCCCATTTTCTCTCTCACATCCAAAGTGTGTTTCAAAGTCACAAAGCAACTTCTACAGTCACACAGTAAAATCAACTTCACGACTTTACAGTAATACCACAAAGCCACATAAAGTGGGATAGGTTCCCCCAAGGGTCTCTTTGCATCCTCCCAGAAAATATTCTCACTGTAAGGAATTTGGACCACTTATTTGGAAAATAAGTCAAGGCTATTTTTCTTAAAAACAAACCACCTGGACCATATACATACAATTATCTGAAAGTCTGTGAGTAAAGCAGGAGGGTTTCCCTATGGGCCCTGCTGAATACAAGCAGAAGGCAACCACCCTGGTGCATGCCTAGAAATAGGGCAGCCCTGGGATAATGGCACTGGATCCCCCTGCAAAGGGTACACCTTGGTCTGTCATACAAACAGCCCAGAGCACTGGAGTTAAGACCATAATGTCCTTTCCAAGAAGACTGGTCCTTAGTCATATCTACCTCACCTGCTCCCAGGGAGTGGAAAGCAGTAAGGGATTAAGGAAGGTCAGAGGGACAGCCAGAAACTCTCTTCACCCTAGGATTCTGATGCCAGTAATCCCAGACCATCCAATTGCATGTAGACATTATTGGTGCCTTTGGTCAGTACCCTAACTTACAAAGTCATCCTTCCAGGTTCCTGTTTGAACACCTAGGGTAGAGGAATACGGTTTTTCAGTTTCCATGAAAATGTATGTACTACCATACCAGAGGTTCAGTGACTGACAGTCTGGAAAACTGAACAAGCGTACTTAAATAAAGACACGAAGAAATACACACAAGTCACTGTTGTACATGACTTCAGGTAATCCTCAACTACTACACGAGGTGTTCTTTTTTCATGAACATATACCTAACAAACAGAAATGGAGAAAAATTCAAGTTCAGAAAATGCGTACCTGTCTGAGTCTTCACGATTACACTCATACGTCGGCGGACAGAATCAAAGTATAAGGTGTGAAGAAGCTCGTATCTTTAAGAGAAGAAGAATGAGAGAAGTAAGATACCTAGACACATTGTTGTTGTTGTTGTTATTTGCCGTCGAGTCGGCCCCGACTCATAGCGACCCCTCCTTGGGTTTCCGAGGCAGTATCACTACGGAAGTAGGATTGCCCAACCTTCCTTCCGAGGAGTGGCTGGTGGGTTTGAACCACCAGCCTTCTGGTTAGCAGTCAAGTGCCTTAGCCACTATGCTACCAGAGCTCCCCCTAGACACATTAGGAAAAATAAAACACAACAGGAACATCTGGAGATATGCAAAGATCTTGAATGAAGAAATGCTTCTCATCTTTGGGAAAGGGTGGCTGGTTGTGTGAATGACTGGTGCTTTCCCTTGTGTTTGGAATTTTTTTGCACACAAAACATGTGTCAGAAGACACCACTGTTGGCTTGGCTAAGGGGTATCTACATACTCTCATTACATTCCTTAAAATGGTAAACAGAGAATGACTACCTACAAATGGGGTATAAATCAAGGAAAGGTGACTAACCAAGTCCTATGTAGAAGGGTCTAGAAACAGTCCCACCCTCTCAATTATTTTACTATCATCTACAGAGTGGCAACTATGTGCCTGACACAGTGCTAGGTGTTGGGAAAACAAGGTGAATCTCCGTAAGTCCCATCCTTCCAGGAGCTTTTATCAAATGATGAGTGAGGCAGAGGGTGATGAGCTCACTACCCCTCCCAGCAGGCTGACTAAGCACTGTGACAGAGGGTGATGTGAGAGTACAGAGGGAAGCCATCCATCTGAAGGAAGGTGTCCTGGACAAGGTAGTGCCTGAGCTATGGTCTGCAGTACTAGCAGGAGTGATATGATGCAGAAAGGGGGCCATGGCATTCTGAGTAGAGGGAAATCCAAAGCCATTGCCACTGAGTCAATTCCAACTCATAGCAACCCTTTTTAGGACAGGGCAGAAAAGCCCCATCAGGTTTCCAAGGCTGTAAACCTTTACAGAATCAGACTGCCTCATCTTTTTTCTGTGGAGCGGCTGGAGGATTTGAACTGCCGACCTTTTGGTTAGCAGTTGAAATCTTTAACCACTGTGCCACCAGAGCTCCTTGAGTAGAGGGAAGTGTGCCTACAAAAGCACAACAGCAGGAGAGGATGTGCCCACTAGGAAACTTTTGAGTAGTTCACCAAGGCCTGAAAACTAGCTTCTAGGGGAATAGCAAGATGAAGTAAAGAGAGGTAAAAATGGACTGGGAACTGAAAGCTCTGTGGGTCTTGTCAGGGATTTGAGATTTTATGCTAAGAGCAACAGGAAGTCAGTAAAGGGTTTAAAAAGAGGAATGTCACAACCAGATTGATCAGCCTATGTATAGGTGGCTGAGGTATTAATCAGACCAAAGACTACATGAGAGTTAAAAATAAGAGTATTATTAGACAAATTCTAAGTATTTTCTTGAAAATAAGTAACTTAGATGCATGTATTTGACATAAAAAAAACTTACTACATAGTTACATGGGCTTGTTCTTATTTTTGGTGGGAGGAAAATGGTTACTGGTTTTGGGGTAGGTGTGAGCATGTGGACACGCTTGCTCCCGTGTGTCTAAGCCATCCACATATAGCGTCTCACTGGGTGCCATATGGGGGCACTGTTGTAGAGTGGCTAGGATCTATATTCTGACAATGAAACTGGGCACCTGGCACTCAGGTCACAGAGCCTTCCTCTGGGCTTCTTAGTATCCCTCCCCACAGGGGCACATTCCCCAATGTCTCTACATGTACTGCAGGGTTCTGATGTATATCTCATGGGATCCTAAGGGCTGGAATGGAAATCAGATGAGATAATTACATTTCAAGTTCAGATGAAGAAATTCAAATTAATCCCAGAGCCTAATTAAAATCAGGCATGAAGCCAAAGTGACTTTCTTTATTGGGGTCTTTGTAGCCAAAGAATGAAATGTGGAGATACAACTGCACAAGAGTACTTTCCCTGAAGTTTACACTTCAGCATCTAGAACAGGACAAAGCTTCTAGTTAACACCTAAGCTGCCATTACTGTCTGGGCTTGCAATCCCAGAGTGATTGGCTGGGCTCTGAGCTGAAAGTTTTATTCATGTTCACAGATTTTTCTTTCAGCATGTGTTAAGAGGCCTGGAACGACATCTAAATTCCAGAATGAACCCTCCAGAGAGAGGGTTCATTCAAGACTATTAATCCAGATGTGAACCAAATTGGAATGATTTCTCCCTCAAACCTCAGTTTCTGCCATTCTATGAAAACGGTTCCCCCTACTCCAGCTACATTTCCATACTCTGAAATGTGGGAGCAGACTTTTGTGTTTAATTGATGCATCCAAATTCCTCTGGTGCCCTTCCTGAAGTAGAGGGAAAATTAAAGCCATTGCCACTGAGTCAATTCCAACTCCTAGCAACCCTTTTAGGACAGGACAGAAAAGCCTCATCAGGTTTCCAAGGCTGGAAATCTTTATAGAATCAGACTGACTCATCTTTTTCCTGTGGAGTGGCTGGTATATTTGAACTACCGACTTTTTGGTTAGCAGCTGAAATCTTTAACCACTGTGCCACCAGAAGCTCCTTGAGTAGAGGGAAGGGTGCCTACAAAAGCATAGCAGCAGGAGAGATGTGGCATATGAGAAACTGTTGACAGGGTTAGGAAACAAGAAACATCAAACATACAGGGCTACTTACTCTTCTGTTTCTTTTCTTTGGTTCTCTACTCTCATATACCCATTCTGAGTTCCTAAAAATGTGAACCCGTACCTATCAAAAAACAATAGAAAATATTTTTGTTAATCTCTAAAGAACAATTCATTTTCCCTTGCCCTGAGGGTTACTGGTACTTGTTCTTTCTTTTTTTTGCCTTGATATGATCTCATAGACTACAATTACCTTTAATTCTTTGAGTTAGTAACAGAGCAAGTCAATGCCCAGCCACAAATTGCAATCAAGGGAGACACTTTGTAATCCCAATGCAGCAGTTAACATGTTGGGTGACCTTCTGGCCACTTAATCATCTTGGATTACACAGATAAAACTGGACTGTCAGTTAGCAAGTGACACCCAAATTGCTGGGAGAAATGAGAATGCCTATGAGCCACTTCAGATATAACAAGTTTTGTACAAAAAAGTGGCCAGCTATAAAATACATTGTGAACACGGACTTCCCAGCAGGCCTTTAAAGAGAGCAATGCAAGTGATACCTACGCAGCCTTACTTTCTTTTGGCCTGAACTATTTAGGTCTGGGAATTTTTCAAACTTTCATATAAAGAAGTGTGGCTTTCCCACCTCCCCAACTATTAAGGAGATTTATAAGATAAGGATATTGATGTAAACATAGAGAAAAATCAAAATAATTCCTTGGCTCCCGTGGTTTTGGTTTCTCAGGAGAAGTGTAAGTGCTTACTTTTTAGCTCCTTTCACCAGAGCTATTTCATCTGGTGAAGAGGAGACATAGGTTAAGTCAGTTGCTTGTGTAGCTCCATCAACAGCATCATTTGTTTTAACCTCTACAGTATGACATAAACACAGAGCACGTAGAAAGAGCTCTTCTCGATTCTGTAGAATAGAAACCCAAGAGAGACTTTAGCATTTTTACTTCAGTGAACAGAAAAAAAGATATTAATGTGAGAGAAAGCGATAACCTCCAGCAAACTGAGTAACAGAAATTGATAAATTCCTAGCAAATGAGCTATATGCCTTCCTGGTACCTAGCAGAATCCTGACTCTCAGTGAGCGTGCCCTCACAAACAAAGTTACTGCTGTTGAGTCAGATTTGACTCACAGCGACTCCTCCTTGGGTTTCTGAGGTGGTGTCACTATGGAAGTAGATTGCCCAGTCTTCCTTCTGAGGAGGGGATGGTGGGTTTGAACTGCCAGCCCTCTGGTTAGCACTCAAACACCTTAGACACTATGCCACCAGAGCTCCCAGCATGCCCTGTTCTTGTGCTGTTACGTGCCGTCACCTCTGACTCACAGCGACCTTATGTACAACACACGAAACACTGCCCGGTCCTGCACCAGCCTCATGATACTTGCTATACCTGAGCCCATCACTGCAGCCACTGTGTCAATTCATCTTGTTGAAGGCCTTCCCCTCTTTCGTCAACTCTCCATCTTACCGAGCATTCTTCTCCAAAGAATGGTCCCTTCTGACAACATGACCAAAGTAGATGAGATGAAGCCTGGCCATTCTCGCTTCCAAGGAAAATTCTGGCTGCACTTCTTCTAGGACAGATCTGTTAGTCCTTTTAGCAGTCCATGGTACTTTCAACAATCTTCGCCAACACCACAACTCAAAAGCATCAATTTTTCTTCCATCCTCCTTATTCACTGTCCAGCTCTCACATGCAAATGAGGTGACTGAAAATACCATGGCTTGTGTCAGGTGCACCTTAGTCCTCAAGGAGACATCTTTGCTATTCAGTACTCGAAAGAGGTCCTTTGCAGCCAATTTGCCCAGTACTATATTTCTTCTAGGAGCTCTGGTAGCGTAGTGCCTAAGGCACTTGACTGCTAACCAGAGGGCTGGCGGTTCAAACTCACCAGCCACTCCTCCGAAGGAAGGTTGGGCAATCTACTTCTATAGTGATACCGCCTCGGAAACCCAAGGTGGGGTCGCTAAGAGTTGGGTCCAACTCAAGGGCACATAACAACAACGTATGTCGTGTGATGTCCTGACTGCTGCTTTCATTGGGGTTGACTGTAAAATCAAGCAATGTGAACTCTTTGAAAACTTCAATCTTTTCTCCTTTTATAGTGATGCTGCTTATTGGTCCAGTTGTGAGGATTTTTGTTTTCTTTATATTGAGATGTAATCCATACTGCAGACTGTAGTCTTCAATCTTCATCAGTAAGTACTTCAAGTCATCCTCACTTTCAGCAAGCCAAGTTGTGTCATCAGCATATCGCAGGTTGTTAATGATTCCTCCTCTAATCCTAAGGCCATGTTCCTCTTCATATAGTCCAGCATCTCAGATTACTTGCTCAGCATATAGATTAAATAAGTAATGGTGAAAGGATGTAACATTGACACACTCCCTTCTTGCTTTTAAATGACACAGTATCTCCTTGTTCTTGTTTGGTCTATGTACAGATTCCCCATGAGTACAATCAAGTGTTCTAGAATTCCTATACTTTTCACTGTTATACATAATTTGTTATGACCCACACAACTGAATGCTTTTGCATAGTCAATAAAACACAAGTAAGTATCTTTCTGGTATTCTTTACTTTCAGCTAAGATCCATCTGACATCAGCTATGATAGCTCTCATTCCACGTCCTCTCCTAAATCCAGCATGTATTTCTGGAAGTTCTCTGTCAATATACTGTTGCAACCATTTTTGAATTATCTTCAGTAAGATTTAACTTGCATGTGGTATCAATGATACTGTTTGATAATTTCCACATTCTGTGGGATCACCTTTCTCTGGAATGGGTACAAATATGGATTTCTTCCAGTCAGTTGGCCAGGTAGCTGTCTCCTGGTATAGCCAAGTGAGTGCCTCCAGCGGGGCATCTGTGTGTTGAAACATCTCAATAGGTATTCCGTCAATTCCCAGAGCCTTGCTTTTCACTAATTCCTTCAGCACAATTTTGACTTCTTCTTTCAATGCCACTGGTTTTGATCATTCGCCACCTCCTAAAATGGATGATCATCTACCACTTCTTTCTGGTATGTTGTTGTTATGTGCCGTCGAGTCGGCCCCAACTCATAGCGACCCCTCTGGTATAATGACTCTGTATTCCATCTATCTTCTTTCGATGTTTTCTGCATCATTCAACATATTACCCATAGAATCTTTCAATATTGTAATTCGAGGCTTAAATTTTTTCCTCAGTTCTTTCAGCTTGAGAAATGCTGAGTGTGTTCTTCCTTTTTGGTTTTTTAACTCCAGGTCTTTGCACATTACATTGTAATAAATGACTTTGTCTTCTCAAGCTGCTCTTTGAAATCTTCTGTTCAGCTCTTTTATCCTATCGATTCTCCCAACCACTTTAGCTGCTCTCTATTCTAGGGCAAGTTTCAGAGTCTCCTCTGACATCCACTTTGGTCTTTTCTTCCTTTCCTGCCTTTTGAATGACCTTTTGCTTTCTTCATGGATGATATTCTAGATGTCATCCCACAGTTCTTCTGGTTTTCGGTCACTGGTGTTTAATGCATCAAATCTATTCTATAGATGGTCTCTAAATTCAGTAGGGATATATTCAAAGTCACATTTTGCCTCTCATGGACTTGTTTTAATTGTCTTCAGTTTCAACTTGAACTTGCATATGAGCAGTTGATGGTCTGTTCCACAATCAGCTCCTGGCTTTGTTTTGGCTGAAGATATTGAGCTTCTCCATCACCTCTTGCCACAGATGTAGTCAATCTGATTCCTGTGTACTCCATCTGGAAAAGTCCACATGTATGGCGGCCATTTGTGTTGTTGCAAAAAAGGTATCTGCGATGAATGAGTTGTTGGTCTTGCAAAATTCTATCATGTCATCTCCAGCGTCATTTGTATCACCAAGACCATATTTCCAAACTACCAGTGATTCTTCTTTGCTTCCAACTTTTGCATTCTAATCACCAGTGATAATTAACACATCTTGATTGCATGTTAGGTCAATTTCAGACTGCAGAAGTTGGTAAAAAATCTTCAATTTCCTCATCATTGGCTTTGGTGGCTGGTGAGTAAATTTGAATAATAGTAATATTAACTGATCTTCCTTGTAGCCGTATGCTATTATCCTGTCACTGACAGCACTGTACTTCAGGACAGACCTTGAAACATTCTTTGGGATGATGAATGCCATGCAATTCCTCTTCAATTTGTCATTCCTGACAAAGTAGGTCATATGTTGTCTGATTTAAAACGGCCAAAATCAGTCCATTTCAGCTCACTAATGCCTAGGAGGTTGATCTTTATGCGTTCCATTTCATTTCTGACAACTTGCAATTTTCCTGGATTCATACTTCGTACATTCCATGTTCCAATTATTAATGGATATTTGCAGCTGTTTCTTCTTATCCTGAGTTGTGCCACATCAGCAAAAAGAGGTCCTAAAAGCTTTACTCCATCCCTATCATCAAGGTCAGCTCTATTCTTAGGAGACAGCTCTTTCCTAGTCATATTTTGAGTGCCCTCCAACCTGAGGGACTCATCCTCTGGCACTATATATCAGACAGTATTTCAGGGCTATTTTTCAGTAATATATCAAACAGTGTTTCACTGCTATTCATAAGGTTTTCACCAGGCAATTATTTGAGAAGTGGATGTGGCCACTTCCTTCTTCCGAGTCTGTCTTAGGCTGGAAGCTCCACTGAACCTGTCCACCATTGCTAACACTGTTGGCACTTGAAACACTGGTGGCACAGCCTCCAGCCTCACTCACAGCAACACATACCCCACCACAGGGTGACAAACTGGCAGACGAGTTCATCTCCGTTAGCTGTTTCAAACTGCTCCACGCCCGCTTCCCAGGCTTCCCTACCAGTTCTGGCATGCCCTAGGGGCTACATTAACTCATCCGGTGCATAGTAGTGCCCCTAATACCAAAGCAGTAACTTCTTCATGACCTAAAAGAGTTAATTCAGTATCTAATTTACAATCCAGCAATAGCTCAGGTGCAGGGAGACTCTGGTTCATTTAATGCTTAGATACTTCTGGGATTTTTATGATTCAGACAGATATCATTCTTGCAGGAGCCAGAATTTTAAAAGACAAAGCACACAAAATCATGAGCAAACACACAGATAAGCAAAGTTTTATCCAAATACCTTTCCCACAATTTTCTCAACTTGCAAATTTGACTTGTTTACAAATTCCAGAGGCATTAGGAAAAGAAGAAAGGTGAATCCAAAACAACAGAGGGCTTCAAAAGTATGTCATGTGCCCACTGGACACCTCTTTCTATTGCAGGGTTAATGCATGCACTACAGATAGATTTCTCAAGGTAAAATGCTTAATACAGAAACTGCCACCTTATCTGCTTTGTCAAAATATGTTAAGGATCCATCAGTTTGAGGAACTCCATCAACCTCCTCAATTACACCTTTATACTTGTGTCCATCTATGCAGCATTCAATGAATTCCATGCTGTTTTCAGTGAGTGTTCCAGTCTTATCTGTAAATACATAATCCACCTAAAAACAAAAAAACACAAACATCCATTTTCATTTTCTTCACTGTGACTAATTTTTCATTAGCTGTAAGGCAGGTTATTTTCATATCTGTAGAAAATCATGTCTAAGACTACTTGTCAAATGCTACGTCATTACACAGGGAACATTATCAAATGAATGAGAAATCAAAGAGTATATCTGAAGAAACTAAAATAACATCACATGCCTAAGGTAGACCTATTTGAATGTAAAAGATGAAGAAGAAGAAAAAATGATGGCTAATTGATCAAATCAATAACTCTTCAATTTTTTTATTGTGGAAAATATCAACATATCTCAAAACATTTCCCATCTCAACACTTCTTACATGCACAATTCAGCAACATGAAATATACTTGTTATGTTACACAACCATCACCACAATCTGCTTCCAAAATTCTTCTATCACCCTTAACAGAAGTTCAGTGCCCCTTGAGCAATGACTCCCTCTTGCCTCCTTCCACTCACCCCTTACTCAAACTCAAACTCACTGCTATCGAGTCAATTTCAACTCATAGTGACCTCCTCCCATTGGGTTTCTGAGGTGGTATATGTTTACAGTAGATTACCCACTCTTCTGCAGAGTGGCTGG